AATGTTTCATGAGTCGCGGCATTATGAATGAAATATGATAATTTTCGTACCACGAGATAAAAAAAAACATCATGATATCAACATTTACAACAATTAGAATATAAAGTGATCAATTTTCATCATGTATCTATCTGTAAACTTTGAAAATAAATTTTACAGTTGTTTCTGAAAGATTGTGAAGTCGAACATTGTTTGATAGTAATAGGTAATTTATTCCAAGCGTCAATACTGAAATAAGAAAAAAAATCCTTTAAATAATTTGTATGAGGTATACTTTTCAGAACAAGATCTTTATGAGCGATTGAGCGTTAATTATGTAATTCATTGTGAGAGAAACTAATAATTTCACTCATATATAACGGTGCCAGATTGTTTAAAGATTTATACACCATAATTGCTGTGTGGTATTTCACTCTAAAATTGAATTTCAGCCATTTAAGTTTATTAAAAAGATCTAATATTGGTGAACGTATCCGTCTACTAAGTATACTTTTTGCAGCTCTTTTTTGAATTGAGTTTACTTTATTGAAGTATGAGTACGTGTCCTTTCCCCATACCGTACAACAATAATCAAGCACAGGAAGAATGTACGCGTTGTAATATATCTTTTTTACTTCGTCAGTAAGGTAAAAAATGATATGCTTGAAGAGGGCAATTTTTGTATTTAGTTTTTTTGCAAACAGAGTCTATTTGATAATGCTAGTTTTATGTATAATCTACATAAATGCCCAATAACTTTTGAACTGTAACATTTTCAAGTGTTGTATCATTTACTTTCAGTAGGAGAGGATTACATTTCTTCACCTTTTTTGAAGGACCAATTATCATGCATTTGTTTTTATTGTGTGCATAGACATATCATTAAGGATTTATATAATTTAAATCTTTTTGTAAATTATCTTGTATTTCCAATAAACAGTCACCGGATTGGTAAAGTGTAGAGACATCCGCATACAAGTCTATATTAAGATCATTACGGAGATAGTAAGAATAGATTCATACTAAGTTAAATGAATAAGATATATTAGCATATTATGTAAATACACTGTATTGAAGAAAAGAAATTATTAAAATTCTAAAACAATTATCACAGATTTAATGCTATTTTTAAGAACACAAAAAAATGTTCTTTCTCAATTTACTTTACAATGCACATAAAATTACACAATATTGCATCATTACATTTTTTTAATAATATATATATCATAACTGTTAAAATATATGTAAATTAAATTTATTATTCAAAACAACTATCATCCCGTGATTACGAATTCCATAAACGACAGCGTACTGTGTACTGTCAACTGCCTACTGTCAACTGCTTACTGTCAACTGCCTACTGTCATCTGCTTACTTTCAACTGCTCAATGCTTACAGCGACTGTTTACTGTTTAATGCTCATTGTTAATTGATAAACGCCAACTGTTACACCTGTCTAATACCCGATTAATTGCATGAAAGTAAATGTTGGCTTTTTATGTCCTCCTTCCAATGTGTTTATATGTTACAATGAGGCCGTTTGAAACAGTATTAGTCAAGGAATTACTCTGTATCATTTATGAAGACTTTGACTGAAACCTTGGAACTTGTTACATTTATACATGTACATGTATATTCTCGTTTTACTAAGCAGAAAAGTATATAAATTATCTTTTCAGGCATCTGGAACTTTATCCAATCATAGACCTGTAAGCTTTATAAAAATGTTATCAAACAAAGTATTACAAGTTTTTCTGTCATTAAATCTTGTTCGGTAATTTTGAGCTAACAAATATAACTGCTTGCTTAATTGTTTATACATGTATATCCCTGTTCAAGCTAAGATACATCTAGCATATAACATTTATATTATAATATTTGTTCATTGAATGATATTGACCCAACCCTATAACTATAGAGCTAATTAATATTTTTAAACAGAGGCCTTGTAATGTCATCACAACGGTCAGTTTTATGTTCGTATTTTAAAAATAATGCTATAATATTTTATTAAAAAATAATCTAGATAATGAATGGTGCTCAAAACATAGATATATAGATTTTCAGACACAATTATATATATCAAAGCACAGAAGGCGCTGAATTTGTTTGGGTCTAAGAAGGTCAGAAAGGTGAAGGTTGTGAGATTATAAACCAATTTGTTTTTGTATAGCCACCAATGCTTTCCAGCGTTGTGACGACCCAAACAAATAACCAGTCACGTCTCGAATTACCAGTAGTTTAGCCTGATAAACGTTAAACGTACTGGGAGAGTATACACACTTCATGGTCCAAATCATACATGGAACCGTTTAGTTCTATCTAAAAAGTTCATACTTGTTTTGGTGATTGTAGACAGTACATGCATGTATACCTTAATTCTACAAAGCCTTAGATTTGACTCAAGAAAATGTTAGTTTAGTAGATGTTAAAAACTTATTCGACAGATCGAAGCATGATGACTAACATGTCAATTGTGTTATAATTGGAAAGTCGATGCTTAATAAAATCATTGAAAGCTCTTTTAGTTTCTTGGGTATTATAAATACAAAGTGATGTTAGTATTTGTTTAACGATAATGAACTGAGGCATCCTAAATTTGAGTCAATGTAATGCCTTTCGCGTGTAATTTCTTAGTTTTTTCAGTATTGCCTCTGTTACATTCTGATTTTTATAACTTATGATAAAGGCATTAAAACCACAGGATAGAAAATAGACTAATCAATATATTGCTGGACGTCCGTAATTTAATTTCATTGTCTTAAGAAAAGTGCTTTTTTGAATATTCAGAAAACTTGCCAGATATTGGAGCTTCAGATGTATTTCTTATGGAACTAATAATATAACGTAATTTTGATCTTCCTAATGCATACTTTTCGCGATCCCATGCATTAAAAATAAATGTGGACAATGTTGATTTTTTTTCCAAATTGGTCATGTTACAACATTCAATAAATAATCTTTGCTTTATGGTTTACATATATATATATATATATATATATATATATATATATATATATATATATATATATATATATATATATATATATATATATATATATATATATATATATATATAACCAATTTATTTTGTCATAATTTTGTTTTCCGGAGGGGGGGGGTGGGGGTAGGGGAGCTAAACATAAACAAAATTACAAGAAGATTATGATATTTTATTTTTAAAGAACTTTTTTATTTTCAATTAAAACGAAAACAAAACACAATTATTGATAATAACATCACATAAAAAGTATGTTTAGACCAGTAAGCTAATATTTTCTTGTATACGCTGTTATTTAAAATAAAAATTATGACACGCCTGTAAAAAATCAAAATCTATATGAAATATTTGTAAAGTTTCGGGGAAAGCTATTAATATAAAAGCAGAATTAAAAGTTCTGTATTTCTATGAAATTATATTAATGTAAATATACTCTGCAATATAAAGTGATATACACGTTGTAAGAATGGTAACTTAAAAATGCTTCATATTATACCATAGAAGCTCTACACTATCATGATGTCTTAAAACTGTTTACCTTAGTTGTCAAACCTTTAAAACCCTGATAGAAATAGCAATGCCTTTCATTGGATGATTCTGGCAAATACGAAGGCAGATATGCTCATTGGTTTTACTTGCAATAATTGCAAAAAGAAATAGAAAAAAATAACCAACCTTAAAGTTCACTTTTAAGTGTGTTTGTTAACAAGATACATTTATTTATTAAAATTATATACGTAAAAGATGGATTTTAAACAAACACGTCAAAAAAAATATAGTGTAACATTAACATGATCATTTTGTCTATCAGAAATGTTTAAGTAAATTTAAATAGTTAAGAATCTATTATTTCTCAGAGTTTTTCAATAGCACAATTGAATTTAAACAAGAGAATAACGATGGCTTTTCATAAAAGTAAAATAAGCTGGTCCAAACTGTAATTTATCACTTCATGTTTGCACTCTTTATGTCATTGAAATATTGAACGTTTTAAAACACTTTGAAAACAGTCAAGTTTGTCTTTGTTTATGCTTTCATAAGGAAGCCGAGTTAAACTCGCCTATAAGAACAAATACATTTATGTAGTCCTTTTCCTCTTCCATTGTAATTTCAATATTTTCATACAGGTATATTGGTTCTGTTACTTGTCTGTGAAGTAAATGAAAGTATAGGCTGTTCCTCCATTGAAATGTTTCTGTCAGATTTATCATCTTCTGTACTGGAATAAAATTGATTCTATAATTAACCTTCAAAGCACATATCTTTGCAACATAAACTAAAGAGTGCAATCAACTTAACAAAAATGCATTACATAACATCTAATAAGGAATTACAAATTTATAAGCTATAACTAACAGCCAATGAAAACTGAACCAAAATGACCTTGTAAATGAACTCACACATTTTTGATTATGAGAGAATGTTTAGCCTAAATTTCATCCGTGATTTCACCAGTATATTACAGATATTCTTCTAGAAATGTATTACAATGTGAAATGAAAGTTTAATAAACTATGAAGTTCTAAATAAAATAAGGGAGTGTTGACATAATGGTCCAGATCTCTGCCTCTCAACCGAGGAATAGTGGGCTCAAGTACGTCCATGTTGATTGTTGAACAAAGGTTCTTTAATTTGTGAATAAAATATTATATAGTTGATTTACCCTAAAATGAGTCCTGACAATTTATCAATCACCTGTGCAAGAGGCACGTGGAACCATTTCATAACATAATCAATGCAGTGTGCAATGGTGGGACGTACACAAGTCATTGCAATGAATTCGAAATTACTAATTATTAGGCTTATTTATAAAATAATCCTTTTTAATTTACTTACCATTGTTTTCCAAGCAGATTTTTTCAACAAAATGGCGGGCGCACATGTGCGTACATTCGGAATACTTCTATTTGATCCATACATAGACTTACACTGCCAATAAGCAGTTAGCAGTAGCAGTGAGCAGCAGGCTGTCCAGTTAGCAGTAGGCAGTGAGCAGTAGGCTGTCGTTTATGGAATTCCGTACGTGATAGCTCAGTTGGTAGAGCGGAGGACTGTAGTGGTTATTCCGTCATCCTTAGGTCACTGGTTCGAATCCGGTTCGCGGGACATAATTTTTCATCAATTTTTGACAGCTATATATTATAGTGTCGTTTAAAGTTATATTCAGCTAATACATTTAATAACACAAGAATTCATCTCTTTATTTTCTTAAAACTATATCAAACGTGTTCTTGTGTTATCTCAGTAAGAGGGGCGGAGGACTGTTGTGTTGCAGCAGTGTTTTATCAAAATATATAATTCACTAAGTGAATACAAGATGTTATACTTAAATAAATGATCGTAGTTACAGGGTAAGAATTTGTTGTTGTTGTTGTTTTATTAAGATACAATACCAAACATGTCTTCAACTTACATCATATATTGTAAATGAAATTGCATAAATCAGAAAAAAAACTGACTGTCAGAGAATTACATATTTTAACAAACAATCAAAAAATGTTTTGAAACAATGGCCGTTTAATATATTTTCAGAAAACGAACACTTCACTTTTACTCTTAGTTCATGGCCATTCTTTTCAACATTAAAGGCAAAAAAAAAGTCTGAAAACTTCATTAAATTGTATTTTTTGATAGCACATTTAGTAGAGCGGAAGACAGTTACCGATGGCATTGCATTTATCCTTAGGTCACATGTTCGAATCCGTTTCCGGAACTTCTGTTAAAATTAGATAATAATCATTGTATAATAAGTGCAATCTTTAAGAACACATGGACAGTGTTCTGTTGGTTTTTGTTGTTTTTTATTTTGTTAAACACAAAAATATATAGAGGATATATTCAAGTTTTTTTCTATAAAATTGTGGATTTATTTGCAGCGAGTGGAAAGAAAATAAATGTTTCATGAGTCGCGGCATTATGAATGAAATATGATAATTTTCGTACCACGAGATAAAAACATCATGATATCAACATTTACAACAATTAGAATATAAAGTGATCAATTTTCATCATGTATCTATCTGTAAACTTTGAAAATAAATTTTACAGTTGTTTCTGAAAGATTGTAAAGTCGAACATTGTTTGATAGTAATAGGTAATTTATTCCAAACGTCAATACTGAAATAAGAAAAAGAATCCTTTAAATAATTTGTATGAGGTATACTTTTCAGAACAAGATCTTTATGAGCGATTGAGCGTTAATTATGTAATTCATTGTGAGAGAAACTAATAATTTCACTCATATATAACGGTGCCAGATTGTTTAAAGATTTATACACCATAATTGCTGTGTGGTATTTCACTCTAAAATTGAATTTCAGCCATTTAAGTTTATTAAAAAGATCTAATATTGGTGAACGTATCCGTCTACTAAGTATACTTTTTGCAGCTCTTTTTTGAATTGAGTTTACTTTATTGAAGTATGAGTACGTGTCCTTTCCCCATACCGTACAACAATAATCAAGCACAGGAAGAATGTACGCGTTGTAATATATCTTTTTTACTTCGTCAGTAAGGTAAAAAATGATATGCTTGAAGAGGGCAATTTTTGTATTTAGTTTTTTTGCAAACAGAGTCTATTTGATAATGCTAGTTTAATGTATAATCTACATAAATGCCCAATAACTTTTGAACTGTAACATTCTCAAGTGTTGTATCATTTACTTTCAGTAGGAGAGGATTACATTTCTTCACCTTTTTTGAAGGACTAATTATCATGCATTTGTTTTTATTGTGTGCATAGACATATCATTAAGGATTTATATAATTTAAATCTTTTTGTAAATTATCTTGTATTTCCAATAAACAGTCACCGGATTGGTAAAGTGTAGAGACATCCGCATACAAGTCTATATTAAGATCATTACGGAGATGGTATGAATAGATTCATACTAACTTAAATGAATAAGATATATTAGCATATTATGTAAATACACTGTATTGAAGAAAAGAAATTATTAAAATTCTAAAACAATTATCACAGATTTTTAAGAACACAAAAAAAATGTTCTTTCTCAATTTACTTTACAATGCACATAAAATTACACAAAATTGCATCATTACATTTTTTTAATAATATATATATCATAACTGTTAAAATATATGTAAATATAATTTATTATATAAAACAACTATCATCCCGTGATAGCTCAGTTGGTAGAGCGGAGGACTGTAGTGGTTATTCTGTCATCCTTAGGTCACTGGTTCGAATCCGGTTCGCGGGACATAATTTTTCATCAATTTTTGACAGCTATATAATTATTATAGTGTCGTTTAAAGTTATATTCAGCTAATACGTTTAATAACACAAGAATTCATCTCTTTATTTTCTTAAAACTATATCAAACGTGTTCTTGTGTTATCTCAGTAAGAGGGGCGGAGGACTGTTGTGTTGCAGCAGTGTTTTATCAAAATATATAATTCACTAAGTGAATACAAGATGTTATACTTAAATAAATGATCGAAGCTAACAAAGAGAATTTGTTGTTGTTGTTTTCTTAAGATACAATGCTAAACATGTCTTCAACGTACATAATAAATTGTAAAAATGAAATTTTTTAAATCAGAAACATTCGTTACTTTACAAATGACTGACAGAGAATTACATATTTTAACAAACAATCAAAAAATGTTTTGAAACAATGGCCGTTTAATATTTTTTCTGAAAACGACCATTTCACTTTTACTCTTAGTTCATAGCCATTAATTTCAACAGTAATGGCAAAAAATGTCTGAAAACTTCATTGAATTGTATTTTTGTGATAACACATTAATTAGAGCGGAAGACTGTTACCGATGGCATTGCATTTATCCCTAGGTCACATGTTCGAATCCGGTTCGGAACTACGGTTAAAATTAGATAATAATCATCATATAATAAGTGCAATCTTTTGGAACACATGAACAGTGTGCTTGTTTTTTGTATATGTGTGTTTTTTTTTTTTTTTTTTTTTTTTTTTTTTTTTTTTTTTTTTTTTTTTTGGTAATTTCGTTTAACACCAAATATATAGAGGATATGTGAAAGTTTTTTTCTATAAAAAGGGGATTTATTTTCATCGAGTTGAAAGAAAATAAATATTTCATTAGTCGCAATATTCTGAATGAAATATGATCGTTTTCGTACCACGAGATAAAAGCAAATCCTGTATTTAAAGAATAACTTGAATTTTCGTTTATTATAATTATACTATTTCTCTTATTTAACGTCTGATTCGAAACACTTCACCTATATCATTTATTTGATATCAATTTATAAGAAAGTAGTCCGGCAAGACACCAGTGTAATTAAGTGAATGTGTATGAAATATGTTTCACTGCAGTGATAAATAATTTTCACAGTGAAAATACGGGAAAATGAAAATAGCATTCTTTATAGGTATATAATAACTTTATAAGTATATAATAAATGTTCATATGCCAGTGATTTTATAGTTTCGTAGTTAATTATATTTTTTTCACTTAAACATACAGTACGTATATCGTCCTACATAATAATTTGTATATTAGTTTATACTATTTTTTTATTTTGGGTAAGCTTATTGAAACACTCGAACCAACCAGCAGTTATTGCATTATGATTATATATACTGTATATATAAACGAACTTCACACACGGTGGCGAGTACAAAACCTAACAATGCATGTACATAAATGTCGAAATCGTTTTGTAACAGAGATATGAAAAATGAAATATATATTCTGCAATATATTGATTTTAAGACAAAGTAAAGGAGACTTATAATAGGTTTCTGGCGTTGAATAATGGTAGTTTTATCAGAGAAGGTGTAAAATCCATGCATAAGTGTAAATTTAATGTCCATTTTCTATTTTTCGGTCCTTTTATATTTTCTATTTTACCTGTTAAAATATAAAGATGATGTGCAATGTACTTTTCTTGATAAAATAAAAGAATAACATTTCTATGGTCATATCATAACATTCTCCTGAAGTGAATCCAGTAGATTTTCAGATTAATCACTTCCATGCATCTAATAAGCTGTATTTCTTTTTTTTCTTCTTTCTTTTCTTGGCATTTCGAATTTATTTATCAAGAAATGCGAATAAAATTTAAGGAATGTACAACAGTACCGTAATTATACCGGAGGTTACATAATAAAGACTGTGTAGTAATGTACGTAGCGATTTCGGTAAGTCAACACAACGAGCAACACTGTAATTTACGTTACATTTACGTTACACTCCGTAATTAAATAATGGTGGACGGTGTGTCACAGATAGACAGTAATCAGTAATTCACTTACATATAGTATCATTTAAATGTCTGGAATGTTAATGTAATAGAAACATTTAAAATACTTCACTGTATAATATAATAAAATGATCGCATTATATGTACAATTGTTAGGTAACTGATTGTAAATGTAAAGTTACTTGTGGTTTATTTGAATTTATTTGATTGATACAAACTAAATAACAATTTATTTGGTTTTATACACGGTTTATTCTATATATTTGCTAGCGTTATACAGAATGACTCATTTACCATCCTTAAAGTAAATTTTATTGTCATGAAAAAATGCAGAGAAAATAGGCCCTATACGTATTTGGATATACAATGAACCGCTTACCAGTTCTCGACTATAATTGAAAACTTGATATAATCTTTTTATAGATACAAAATGCACATGGTCGCAAAGTACATAGAAAACTTAATTATATAATTATGTCTTCCATAATCGGTTTACTTAAATTCCATCTCATTTTCCAATTTAGTTTTGTTTAAGCATGTAAAATAACATTCATGATGACATTATTATGCGATTGATTGGGGTTTCCAAATGATGCATGTATGACATTTAATTTTGTTCCTTTACAAACATCTAAAATTAGTTCATAGTTTCAGCATGAGCATGACATATAGGAAACTTGGTAACATCATATGCGTATATATAAGCCAAAAAAGCGTAGAGGTCTTTTATTGTTCATTCGGAGGCAATGATTTTAACTATTCTCTATAAACCGACTACTGTGGCGCCTAAAGAATACAAATCAATCAAGCAAAGTTCAGTCAAAGCATAATTAGATAGTTTGTTTTTGCAACAGAATAAAGCTCCCGCTCGCGCACGACACCCACCATCCACTTACGGCAGCCCTTCCACTGTAATTTAGGACTCTGAGACCCGCCCCTATTACTGCCCATACACACATTGTGATAGTTAAATCAGTGCGCTCTAAATACTAGGTCTGAATGACCGTCAGCCGGCCGAAGGCGAAAGTGACCGATAAACATCTTGAAATCCCAATGATCAAAGTATTTTCACTTTGTATATTACAATTTGACATGAAAACTTATCAATTATACGATCTCTCATATGAATCGGGCGTAATTTCGTCTATCGCAGGTCGAGCCCCTATGTGTTTGGCCGTGCCACCCTGAACAAAACAAGGCGTTTAAATAATAATTGTACCAAATAGGGTTGAAGCGACACAAACGAGATGGTCCTTTTAATGACCATTGACTATTTGTGGTTATCTTAAAATTTGATCATGATCAGAATGTAAAAAGTGAGAGTTTAATTTCATAAGTCACACCGCCCCTTATAATCTGGGGTATAAAATGCAATGACCACTGGTCAAAAGTCAAACTCGCTTCACTTACTCTAATAGTCACTGTGCCATTATAAAAATAATTTGTTATTTACTTTTGGACATGTTTTTTGGAGAAAAAATGAAGACATTAAATTGAACGTGCATATAAATGGTCACTGAAATTTAGAAGCATTGAATAATTTAACTCGCATTTTTTTAAAGAAGTGATTTTCTGGATTTAAACACAAACACTACAAAAACTGACAATGGAAGAAAAAAGAACTTTATCTTTTTCTATAGACAGTATTTTGTCGTCAGAAAACAGACGGCCGACAATTCCGAAGTTTTCTCCATATATGGACGACAGATACACGAGTCCACAACCGGGGTATGGGACAGAAGCTCTAGACGGCAGAATCAGACAGTCATTAGGTAATTTAAATCTTTTTCATAACTTTGATAAAAACAAATGTTTTCATTATAAATCCGACCAGCATTTAGTGTGAATATATCGTACTTGATAATTCAAGACATTAAAGTGGATTGGTCTACATGGCAAATTTTCCATATTAAGTGTTTCAAATATTAATAAAAAAAACGAAATTTTAAATGTAAATGTATCTGTTTATATTTCTTGGGAAATGTTTATAAAGTTATAAATGCTTTAGTAGATGGATACTAATACATGTATTTTGTTCTAGAGCACCATTATCTGCTACGTAAACATATTTAATATTGGGTCATATATCTTACATTTGCCAGCGACATACATGTATAATTCTTTTGTGGTTTATTGTAATGTCTAACAACGTACTGAATTGTTGCATTACAGACCTTCAATTATAGATTAATTCACTTTAATGTGTTTGAAAAAAATTATTTGTAATTCATTTTTACGGTTATCATTTAATTTTACGTTATTATTATCATTATCATTATTAACAATGTTAAATTCTTATCTGGTAAAACGTGTTTGGTAAAAATTAAATAATGTATTTATTTTTCTAAAATGTGGATATTGCAAGCCTTATGACAAAACAATAAGAAATATTTCTACTAAAATTAGAGAATCGACAATGAAAATGGTAATGTTCAATAACAAGGTGTTTGTCAAACATTTATAATATTTACGAAGTAAATAAATTGCTGTGAAACAACCGTTTTTAAATACGAAACAAAATAAAACACTGACTTTTACGTCAACGTCTGTGGATTAAACAACGCTTAAAAAATATTATTATATTTTGTTTAATGAACTGGTATTTGTCTTTTATTTTTCGTTTTTCTAATATTACCAGTAAATTTAACTAAATTTTTTTTATTTCACAGGCAGCGAATCGGCAGACGATGAAAATATTGCTGGTGACGAAAGCGGGGACGAGATGTCTTCTCCTTCATCATATGAATCAACCCAACATTCACCATCAAAATCTCTCACAGACTCTGATTCTTTAAAATGCAAATCAAAAAAGAAAACCAGGACAGTATTTTCTAGACAACAAGTGTTTTATCTGGAAGCAGCATTTGACGCCAAAAGATATTTATCTAGCGCCGAACGTTCTGAAATAGCAACTTCACTAAACTTAACAGAGACACAAGTGAAAGTTTGGTTTCAAAACCGTAGAAATAAATGGAAGGCTCAGTTGAACGGAGATGGCAAAACTTCTCCGACACAAGAAACGCCGCCAATTTTTCTGTCGCCATTTTTGTGCAACAGTGTCGCTGCAGCCGCACATGCGCAAAGAGGGCAAGCTGGGGTACCGCCAGTTCCGTTCTTCCGACAACCAGTGTTCTATTAAAACTACAATTTACAACTAAATTGTAATAAAAACTATGAAATAATGTCTTGCCCATGAACTTACTATAAGGCTATACAATTTTTGCTATTTTTGTCTTGTTTTGGTGAATATTTTATGCTTGTTACTCGTTATATTTCAATATTAATAAATATTGCTAAAACTTATTGTATTTATTTAACTTTGTTTTAACAAACAGACCACTTAATATATCATTTTCTTGTGAAATAGTTTAATTTAACATATTTAAGCTCGATTGCGAAACAGTATCTCGCAAGTTCTGGTGTCATGTAAGGGAATATAGCCGTGACCCGATTAGGACTCAAACCCATCATCTCGGGTTGAGAGGCAGACATCTTTACCACTCGGCCGCCGATCCCATGTTAAATAGTGCTTCTACCCGTCAAAACATATGAAATGGCGAGTTGTTTTTATAGAAATCTGCATGGTTATAGAGGCAACTAACATTGCAACTAAACCGTTGCGATTCATGTGGGGAGGGATTAAATACTGATAGTGCTATTATTTTATATTAGTATAGGCATAAAGAAAAATAATAACGCATTCAATGCTGAGAAAAAATCTGTTTCATAGATTTGTTCTCGTAAACACTGTGCAAATTCAATGTTTTGTGTAGAACGTCGGGACCAAAACAGTCGGGTGAATGGTTGACATAAAAAATCATGGATTCAAGTTGAATAAGATGCCATATACCAACATATCACCAGATTTTACATTCCCTCCATGCTCAGTCGAACTTTATATTAAAATGTTGAAGACACATAATATATTAAACTGGCAACTTTAGGTTTTGGGGATAGTGTAAATCAATTGAAGATTGCGTTTATAAATAAATAAATAGGATTTTTACACTGTTAAATGCGTTATAAATTTTCCTTTCATGTCCGAACTGCTAAGTTTGACTGCTTACAATACTATGGAAAAAACGGGGTCTATTTGGAACTTTTGTTCAGTATTAAACGATGACATCCATTTCTATTTAAATACACTACTACTTATTTGAGAAAAATGAATCCAGCAAAACCTAATAAAAAAAAACATGGAAATTGATCGCGTTTTCAGAATGGAAATTTTATTCTAGAATTCAACGTGCTAAATTTGTCACGTTATTGTCGTGCTTTGAATTTGGAACAGTCCATTCAATGTTTAAGGGATTTCAATATCAAAATTATTCTAGAAAGACGGATGAACGAATAATCTGAATTGTGTGTCTGGACCTCCCATCATATGGTTCACAAATCTCGGAAAATAATATTCCAGTCATGTTTAAAAATCGATTAATTCCTTTAGAGACATAAACAAATAACCACTTCTCATTTTACAAAAAGAAGTATAATAAATTATCTTACAAGTTTGTAGAGCTGCTTCTTTTGCACAATTTAAGAAAGATGTTTAGACAAGCACTTATCATAGTATTGCAAGTAATCCATAAGTCCTCTACCGGTTAGAACCCCAGCAACATTCTGAAGGGCCATTGGTCATTGAATTATGTCATTAAATGAATGAATGAACGAACATAGTTATAAATATTCATCCTGAGAAAAGTAGATCTTCTGATTATCTCTTGTATAAACATTATTTCATTAATAGGCAGGGAAACTTAACACATTACTAAGATATAGACAAACTAAGAACTCAGAAGATTTAATGTTTCAACTTTTCTCTATTTAAAGTAAATTTTGCGGAAAGTTCTTTAAAAACAGTGTTTAGGAACGGACAGACAGACAAACTGACAGACACTCTGTGGGTAAATCTTTATTGACGCTAGATTTATAACCCTTGTCATAATATTATGATTTTGGAGTTTGAAGTAAATGCTATAAGAAATGAAGAAGTTTGGGTAAAAAGTAATAGTTTCTAGAAAAAAAATCTAAGTTTAAGGGGGATTCTGGAAATAGTCAAGCTAAAGTATTAAACCTTCTCCCAAATGATTTGAGTGATGATATGACACATATATATGAAGTTTGAAGTAGATACATTAAGAAAAAATGAAGTTGGTGAAAACATCATTTTTTATGGAAATTCTAAGTTCAAGGGGGGTAAATCTGATAATGTTTGTGCTAGAGTTGTAAATCTTGTCACGTATGTGGTTGATATTTGAAGTAAATACCTTTAGAAATAAAGAACTTATAGTGAAAAGCGTAAAAAATTGAATCGGGAATCTTTACGAGGTCGCGGACGTTTGTTAAGTATGACAGCTCTCAATATACTCCCTATAGTCAAGATTAAAATGATGTGTATAATTTCCATGGAAGACCCGTTGCTAATGTTGAGAGAACTTGTGGGTCAACCCTTTTGCCAAATATGTCATGTCATTGTATTGTAACTGTCTACATGTATGTATATGTCTTATTTTTGGCAATAAAATATGTTTAAATCAGTATAATTTCCATACTGCCATCTATCCATATTTTAAGTTTCATAAAAATGTTTCACTACTTTTTGAGTTATCACAAATATTGTTATATTTGACTTATTTTAAAGCCATTTGTTGCCATAGCAACCAAAATTTTTCAACAGAAAGATTTGCATAATCTCCAGTCTGCCATCTACCTATATTTCAAGTTTCATAAAAATATTTTCGGTACTTTTTGCGTTATCGCTTATCTTGGGACCCAGTTTTGTGGAGAGACAGAGGGTAAACCGGTAGGGGACTAAAAACTTGTTTTTAACTTTCTCTCCACAATGAATTGCGATTAGCATCCAAGCCCTACAGCACTTTATTATACAGACATGAGTATTTATATGCGAGATAGAAATATAGCCAGTTTGAAAATATATCTGGTACCACTTTGTTAGCAGTTTAAACATTCGAAACTGGTCCCGGTTTAACATGTCTTTTCCCCATTCTCTTAAGCAGCATAATATTAATATAAATTAAAAAAAATAAAAACAAAAATCAAGTCAGAGAAAATTGTACCACATTTATTTAAAGTCAATATCAGTCGGTACATGAAGGGGCATAATCTAAAAATCTGATTCTTCAACTTGTACTTTGGTTATTCCCCTTTAATTGCTAACTTTTTTTATAGACCTGGAGTAGTGTTTTTAAAATCAAATTGTATACCAAAGTTTTTTTCCATTCTTAGTGGTGAAAAAGAACAACTCTTAAACTTTTCTAAAATAAATATATATTACAAGAATGAAGAAACTAAAAGTGTAAATACAATATATTTAATTTTATAATGATAATAATTGGTTTTATGTAGTTTTAATTAAATAATTACTATTTGAGACAAAAAAAGAAGATTTTTTGTCCAAGTATTTGATACGTTTTGAATTAAAATATCTCGCTTTCTTTAAAAAGTAACCATGCTATTTCATATCTACATTTCAATTAATATAGATCCCTATACTGATTTGATAATGAAATTTAATAAAATTAAATTAAACTAACCATTTAACCATGATTTGATACAGAAATAAATTTAGATATTAAGTTGCATGATTTATTAAAGTGTAACAAAAGCATTCATGATTTGGAATTTTAGCTCATTGTAACAAAAAAGTTATACAACAACAACCGTAAAAACCTAACATAAACATAGTAGACAAGAGGGCCATGATGGCCCTGAGGTCGCTCACCTGTATATAGCCCCCCCCCCCCCCCCCGCCCAATTTTTACCCAAGGGCTTTTATTTGTTTATTTGAACAGACTTGGTAGACACCCATAAGAAGATGTTTCATGCAAAACATCTAAGTTCTAGCTCATTGGGTTTTTTAAAAGAAGATTTTTTAAGTTTTTTACTATACACATAGAGTAAAAAAACAATGACACCCCTCGGGCAGGGCCAGTTTTTGACCCCTGGGCTTTTTATTTGAACAAACTTTGTAGATATTTACTTAAAGATGTTGCATGCTTAATATCTAAACTCTAGTTATTTGGGTTTTTTTCAAAGAAGATTTTTTTAAGTTTTTGCTATGTATATAAGGAAAATCAATGACCCCCGGGGCGGGGCCAGTTTTGACCCCAGGGCTTTTATTTGAACATACTTGGTAGACACCCATTAGAACATGTCTCATGCTAAATATCTTAGCTCTAGCTCTTTGGGTTCTTTAAAAAGAAGATTTTATAAGTTTTTACTATATGCATATAAGGAAAATCAATGACCCCTGGGGAGGGCCAATTTGGACCCCAGGGGTTTTATTTGAACAAAACTTGGTAGACATTCACTAGAAGATGTTTCATGCCAAATATATAAGCTTTAGCTCTTACAGTTCTTTAAAAGAAGATTTTTTAAGTTTTTACTATATGCATATAGGGAAAATCAATGACCCCCTGGGGCGGGGCCAATTTTGACCCCAGGGCTTTTATTTGAACAAACTTGGTAGACATTTACTAGAAGATGTTTTATGCCAAATATCTAAGCTCTAGCTCTTACGGTTCTTTAAAAGAAGATTTTTTAAGTTTAAACTATATGCATATAGGGAAATCAATTACCCCCCAGGGCGGGGCCAATTTTGACCCCAGGGCTTTTATTTGAACAAACTTGGTAGACATTCACTAGAAGATGTTTCATGCCAAATATCTAAGCTCTAGCTCTTTTGGGTTCTTTAAAAGAAGATTTTTTAAGTTTTTACTTTATGCATATAGGGAAAATCAATGACCCCCTGGGGCGGGGCCAATCTTGACCCCAGGGCTTTTATTTGAACAAACTTGGTAGACATTCACTAGAAGATGTTTCATGCCAAATATCTAAGCTCTAGCTCTTACAGTTCTTTAAAGGAAGATTTTTTTAAGTGTTTACTATATGCATATAGGGAAAATCAATGACCCCCCGGGGCGGGGCCAATTTTGACCCCAGGGCTTTTATTTGAACAAACTTGGTAGACACTCACTAGAAGATGTTCCATGCCAAAAATCTTAGCTCTAGCTCTTACAGTTCTTTAAAAAGAAGATCTTTTAAGTTTTTACTATATGCATATAGGGAAAATCAATGACCCCCCGGGGGCGGGGCCAATTTTGACCCCAGGGCTTTTATTTGAACAAACTTGGTAGACACTCATTAGAAGATGTTTCATGCCAAAATATCTAAGCTCTAGCTCTTAGGGTTGTTTAAAAGAAGATATTTAAAGATTTTTCTTTCGGTTGCCATGGCAACCAGAGTTCTGCATGGAATTAAATTCTTTGAACAATTTTTAAAGGTGACCACCAAAGGAACATTCCTGTGAAGTTTGGATGAAATTGGCTCAGTGGTTTATGAGGAGATGTCATTTAAAGCAAAAGTTTACGGACGGACGACGGACGGACGGACGGACGCCGGACGAAAAGCGATCACAAAAGCTCACCCTGTCACTTTGTGACAGGTGAGCTAAAAACACATTATAAATAACTTGTGTGATAAAAACGTTTACCTAGTGTGATAAAATAACATGTTTTTATAACATGATATAATGTGATCATTAATTAGTGTGATAAAATAACATGATAAATTATCGTCAATAACTAATGTGATAAAATAACAAGTTAAACCATTATCAATATCTAGTATAATAAAGTAACATGTTTTTATTAGCTAGTGTGATAAAATAACAAGTAAAATCACGATTAATAACTTATGTCAGTGTAATGAAATATCATGATATATTACTCTCAATAACTGTGATAAAATAACAAGTCAAACCATGAATAATGATCAATGTGAATAAAATAACAAGTTAAATCATGATTTATTAATCTGCATGATGAAATAACATGACATATCATTAACAACAATAAATTGCACATAATATATGGTAACAAAATAAAGTAAATATAACGAATAACAACAAAATAAATTAATTATAACAAATAACAACAAAATAAAAGTAAATATAATGAATAACAACAAATGTAAAAATACAACAAATGCTCACATCATTTGAAATAAAAAGAACAATAATTAACAGGGGCAACAGACATGTATATACTGTATATAAGGTTTTGATTACTTATTTAAAAATAACAATGTCATTAAGAAAAATAATAAATTTCAATTATTATTTCATTGCACTAAAATATCAAGTCAGTTAGTCATTAGTCAATCTTTTTGATAATCAAAAACAACTAAGTGTTCACTTTTGGTAATCTCTATTCTTAGAGGTTAAGAAAATAATTTTTCCTGCCAGAAAAGTAGAAATGTTATATACATGTATTAACTAATTTATTGTTTTATTTAAAGTATCTACTTTTTGTAAGTTTAGCACATTGAGAAAATGGAGCCAAATGCAGCTATACAGTCAGTTTAGATTTCCAGTTCAAATTCTGTCAGTCTATTGTAGTTTTGATGCCCTGTCTTATGTTGTTTTGGTGCGCTGTCTAATGTTGTTTTGGTGCGCTGTCTAATGTTGTTTTGGTGTCTAATGTAGTTTTGGTGCCCTGTCTAATGTTGTTTTGGTGCCCTGTCTAATGTTGTTTTGGTGCCCTGTCTATTGCAGTTTTGGTGCCCTGTCTAATGTAGTTTTGGTGCCCTGTCTAATGTAGTTTTGGTGCCCCGTCTAATGTTGTTTTGGTGCCCCGTCTAATGTTGTTTTAGTGCCCTGTCTAATGTCGTTTTGATGCCCTGTCTAATGTTGTTTTGATGCCCTGTTCACTCTGTTAGTCTATTGCAGTTTTGATCTCTGATTGGTTCACTCGGTCATTCTTATGTAAATGTCCTCATAACAGTCTTGCTGTGTGACAATAACAGATCCTTTGGCACAGAGCTCTGTAATATAGAAAACCTTTGACATGAGGGCAACACAATAAAACTATTTAATTAATTCTAATTATTTACAACCGATCAGTGCTTTTGAAACATAGCATGTGACTGTCCAATATATTCCCATATTGTACACTGTAGTATCCTGTATATCTATTAGGGGTGTCATGTATATCCATTTAAACGGGTATGGTTGGTATTCAGCTAAAAAAGGTAAGAAAATTAAATAATCAGTAATTGAGGTTAGTATTTGATGGAGGAGCGGAAAACTTTTAAATTGATTCTAAATAAACCTTAGTGTTTTTCTTTAACAAGATATGACAATTGTTTTTGCTTTTTTTTAAATTTCAGCAACATAGTTGGACATTTATTTTCCCTTGTGGAAAGTGGGGTCGGGGAACCATCCACCACTTCCAATATCATACATCTATCCCAATATAGGAACATACAAAGTTATGTTAACCAATAATAGTGTTTTCAACATAACAACAGAACTACAAAGAAAACATACATATTCATACACACAATATATAATGTTTTCAGTTGAAAGAAAAAAAAAGTTCCTTGGGGGATTTTTATAGTATTCAAAGATGGGGGTTTTTTATATTAAAAAAAATATAAATATGTTTCACAAATCTTAAAAAACATTTTCTAGCCAAAGCTTACTGCCATGTTTTGTGTGTTATTATACTTATATTATTTTGATTGTACAAATTCACATGTCTAGGTTAGACCTGAAGTATCTTAACACAATTCTTAACAACTTAAGAACTCACATGATGAAAGAACTTGTTCATATTTAACATTAAAAGTTTTTTTTCTTTCTAGCAATTATGCATTACCATTATAATTTATCTGAAACATAAATAGCCAATTTACTAGATATGACAATTGTTTGTATTTAAGTTGTACTCAACAATGTATTTTTTCCAATCTGATTGAAAACGGTATGACCCTAGCGGAAAACAGTTACTTCATATTCAGATATGTATTGTAATCATTTTGGAGTACATTAAAATATGAACAAAATGGCATATCTTGTCATAAACAAACAGCATTTAGAATGTTGAAAATCTAAGGATTTTATGAATACAGTCGGTTAAAAGTTTAACACGGTTATTACGTCGCCGTTAAATGGTTAGCATTTTTATAACCGTGACACCCCTAATATTTATCAAATTATTGGATAGTTCAGTGTTCTCAGCCTTTTCTATGAATCATCAATTATAAGAGAATTTTAAAAGGACAATCTGGGGCCAAAAGTCAGCCACATTCCCCTCTCCAAATAATATACATATTCCCCCTATTTATCCAACTGACTGGGACAGAGCTAGTAAAAAGAAAATGGTACGGTATTACAATTTAAAACAAGATATGTTTGTAAAACATGTATGCCCCCTGTCGGCAGCCAATTAGTCATGTGATCAGGTTATTATGCATGACTTCTGACCCAGTGAACAAACAATTAATAAAGGTTATCTAGTATCTACTGGTCATGACTAGTCACAAGGTAATAATTATTGTGACCCTATAGGTTGTGTGCAGCAATTTAAGTTATTACAAATCTTACCAAATAATATATGCATAAATTTTATGAATCATGTAGGCCTCATTAATGACAGCCAAGTTGTTATATTACATATATAAGACCTTCAAATGTGTATACCAAAAGCATTTTTAGTTTAATATAAAAATATCAACCAAGGCAACTTGAGTAGTTGAGTTATTGGTCAGAAACCGTCATTAAGTACAAGGTCAATATGACATTGACCCCTTGACCCAAAAAACAATAGATTCATCTACAGGTCATGACCAATCATCATACAAAGTTTGAAGTTCCTAGGCCTAAGCGTTCTTTAGTTATTGATCGGAAACTGTTTTTACCTACAAGGTCAATGTGACCTTGACATTGGACCCCTTGACCCCAAAATCAATAGGGGTCATCTGCTGGCAATGACCAATCATCATACAAAGTATGAAGTTCCTAGGCCTAAGCGTTCTTTAGATATTGATTGGAAACCGTTTTTACCTACAAGGTCAATGTGACCTTGACCTTTGACCCCTTGACCCAAAAATCAATGAGTCATCTGCTGATCATGACCAATCATCATACAAAGTTTGAAGTTCCTAGGCCTAAGCCTTCTTTAGTTATTGATCGGAAACAGTTTTTACCAACAAGGTCAATGTGACCTTGACTTTGGACCCCTTGACCCCAAAATCAATAGGGGTCATCTGCTGGCAATGACCAATCATCATACCAAGTTTGAAGTTTCTAGGCCTAAGCGTTCTCTGGTTATTGATCGGAAACCGTTTTTACCTACAAGGTCAATGTGACCTTGAGCTTTGACCCCTTGACCCCAAAATCAATAGGGGTCATCTACTGATCATGACATTTCATCATACCAAGTTTGAAGTTCCTAGGCCTAAGGGTTCTTTAATTATTGTTCGGAAACCGTTTTTGCTTACAAGGTCAATGTGACCTTGACCTTTGACCCCAAAATCATAAGGGGCCATCTACTGGTCATGACCAATCACCATACCAAGTTTGAAGTTCCTAGGCCTAAGGGTTCTTAAGTTATTGATCGGGAACCGTTTTTGCTTACAAGGTCAATTAGACCTTGACCTTTGACCCCTTGACCCCAAAATCGATAGGGGTCATCAACTGATCATGACCAATCACCATACCAAGTTTGAAGTTCCTAGGCCTAAGGGTTATTTATTTATTGATCGGAAACCGTTTTTGCTTACAAGGTTAATGTGACCTTGACCTTTGACCCCTTGACCACAAAATCACTAGGGGTCATTTACTGATCATGACCAATCACCACACCAAGTTTGAAGTTCCTAGGCCTAAGGGTTCTTTAGTTATCACTCGGAAACCGTTTTTGCTTACAAGGTCAATGTGACCTTGACCTTTGACCCCTTGACCCCAAAATCAATAGGGGTCATCTACTGATCATGACCAATCACCATACCAAGTTTGAAGTTCCTAGGCCTAAGGGTTCTTTAGTTATTGGTCGGAAACCGTTTTTGCTTACAAGGTCAATGTGACCTTGACCTTTGACCACTTGACCCCAAAATCATAAGGGGCCATCTACTGGTCATGACCAATCACCATATCAAGTTTGAAGTTCCTAGGCCTAAGGGTTCTTTAGTTATCACTCGGAAACCGTTTTTGCTTACAAGGTCAATGTGACCTTGACCTTTGACCCCTTGACCCCAAAATCAATAGGGGTCATCTACTGATCATGACCAATCACCATACCAAGTTTGAAGTTCCTAGGCCTAAGGGTTCTTTAGTTATTGGTCGGAAACCGTTTTTGCTTACAAGGTCAATGTGACCTTGACCTTTGACCACTTGACCCCAAAATCATAAGGGGCCATCTACTGGTCATGACCAATCACCATATCAAGTTTGAAGTTCCTAGGCCTAAGGGTTCTTTAGTTATTGATTGGAAACCTTTTTTGCTTACAAGGTCAATGTGACCTTGACCTTTGACCCCTTGACCCCAAAATCAATAGGGGTCATCTACTGATCATGACCAATCACCATACCAAGTTTGAAGTTCCTAGGCCTAAGGGTTCTTTAGTTATCACTCGGAAACCATTTGGTCTACGGACCGACAAGTGCAAAGCAATATACCCCCTCTTCTTCAAAGTGGGGGCATAATAAAATGAACTGTTTAATTTTTTTCTCTTTTTTCTCTAAAAAATGAGAACGGTGACCCCCATTTTTTTTCCGCTTAAAATGTTTCTGTTATCATATTCTAACAACATGCAAAGTTTAAAGAAATTCTATTGAACAGTTTTTATTTTGCCTATATGTCTATATGAAAACTCCAGAAAACTTCTTTAACCCTGATAATGAGACAAATTGTCATCTTTGTGACATTGATACCTAGTAGAGCAGAAAATTTCCTGGCAGCAGTTTTTCTGTCTACAAGTTGTGGTGGACAGATACTGAGGAAAGTAGTGTACTGATCTGCCTGATCCTCAATATCACCTTCTATAGACCTGCAATATAAAATCACCTTTCTTATATATGCAGTTAATCACAAGATTTTAAAATATCTTTTAGTCCTTTGAATGATATATCTGTTAAAAGGTACGATCATTATTGTCTGTGTACAAAATGAAAAAGGAAAACTAATATTATTTAATTAGCCAATTAAGATCCACAATAGAAGGAATGAAGCTATTTGCCTGAAACCTCACAAATTTACCGGTACTCATATTTCACTAGTTTTGTTGAACCTGCACTCAACATTTTACAGTTAATCACTAGAAATAAAGATTAATTCTATACGTTATGAAGTCATTACGAACCTGCTTAATTGAAAGTATATGAAAAGTGTCTTTAAATGTTTACTTTAGTAATTCCTCCTGTAATTGTTCCTGGTCCTCTGTCATATACTGTAACAATGGTACTGCCACATAATGACCCTCGAATCTTGGTTCTTCTACAACATCGTAAAGTGTACGACCAGTGGAGGTGTGGCTTGTCTGAAGGCTGGTCCCAGAGGGTAATTCCATCATAGAGGGCGGGGCTTGCTGCTCATCATCTTTAGATGCTGTAGATCTCGTTCTACGTCTAGTAAAGATATTTTATTTATAAGACAAATAAGACAGTTTGAAAACAATTATTTGTGATCTTGCATCTTTCTAACAACTTTTAAGACAAGAGCCGGTTGAACCGGGTGATGCTCCCCGACTAGGTCTTGGACATAGAAAAGTATATCTTTAGTAGTTTCAGAGTTATGTCCCAAACAAAGTTCAAAGTGTGATAATTCCAAACTTAGGCAAGGAAGAGTTACTGTTCTTTGCACTGCACTTCTATTCAATGAGATCTATCTACCGACTTGGGTGCCACACGCCGTCTCAATATGTTGATCATTTCTGTGAAATAGTTGTAAAATCCAACTTCAAATAACGAAGATATGGGCAGGAAATGATTTTGCTGTAAGGTCATGCTTTGACCTTGAACTTCAAGGGAGCAACCCAAATTTTGCGCACGACACACTGTCTCAATATGGTGATCATTTCTGTGAAATAGTTGTAAAATCCGACTTCAAATAACGAAGTTATGGGCTGGACACAATTTTGCTGCAAGGTCATGCTGTGACCTTGACCTTCAAGGTAGCAACCCAAATGTTGCGCGCGACACGCGTCTCAATATGGTGATCATTTCTGTGAAATAGTTGTAAAATCCGCTTTCATATAACCGAGTTATGGGCTGGACATGATTTTGCTGCGAGGTCATACAGTGACCTTGACCTTCAAGATAGCGACCCAAATTTGCGGGCGACATGTCGTCTGAATAGTGTGATCATTTCTGTGAAATAGTTGTAAAATCTGACTGCAAATAACAAAGTTATGGGCTGGGCATGATTTTGCTGCAAGGACATGCTGTGACCTTGACCTTCAAGGTAGTGGCCCAAATGTTGTGCGCGACACGTCATCTCAATATGGTGATCATTTCTGCGAAATAGTTGTAAAATGCAACTTCAAAAAACGAAGTTTATAATGGGCTGGGCATGATTTTGCTGCAAGGTCATTTCTGTGAAATAGTTGTAAAATCTGACTTAAAATAACAAAGTTATGGGCCCCTACACGAATTCAAGACATACATACGGACAACCCGGCGACTATATGTTCCTCCGAAAAAATTTTGGGAGCATAAAAATGTATTTTATAGGCAATCAACAAATAAATTTGTAAGTTAAATACAGAAAATAATTCACCAGACTCGTTTGAGCATTTCTAATTCCTGAAACATGCTCACATACATTATATCAAGCACAAGACATAAAAACTAATCAAAGGAGTAAGAATTAGTGAAATTACTTTTCAACTCCAATAAATTACCTCCCTTGATGATAATTTTTTCACACTCTCACTTAAGTACCAATTTGATGTTATAACTCATACAAAAGGTCAAAGTTGTAAATAGACATCAGTGGGAGATAATTATCAATAAAAAAAACATTCAGATAAAGCATGATAAAAGATTTTTTATCATTTTGTCAATCCTCTTTCTTAGCGTCTTCTTATAGGTATTTTAATAAATTATAATTATGATCTAGTGAATAAACCTACTTTTTTGTGCTGCCTTTCCTAGAGTCTCGACTTTCTTCCAGTATAAGAGAATCATCTAATCCTAGAGGTCGTGGAGTCTCTATACGAGATGTGGACGCGTCTCTGTTAATCTCTCTCAGTGATATGTCAGGTGCTGGAGTCCCAGTCATTGACTGTAAACAATTTCTTACACTAATTTATTCAAAATTAAATAATATTTACATGTTGCAGGGTTTGAAAGGCTGGTGCTGTAGATAACATGAAAACAAATTGGGGACCCCCATATTTTGGATTAAAATGTTTCTGTTTTCGTAATATTAAGATCATGCAAAGTTTTGAAAAAATGTATAAAATATACTGTTTTCATCCTGCATATTTGACTATATGAAACAGTAATGTAGGTACGCCTTTGAAAAAGCTACATTGTAGTTGATTTAAAGGTCTGTAAAACATTAAAAAATAACATGCTACTTTATAATTTCTATGGAGCTATTGATAGTTGAGAAAAAACCTATATAAAACAAATTGTATATATCAATCATAAATATCTGAAATAAGTAAGGATTAAGTAAGGTTGCATTCATTGAATGCCACCTTTCCTTGTTGATCTTGTTTATCATATTTTAACACATTGTTCCAGCTTATAGTGATACAAGTTGTAACAAAACCAATTTCAATTATATTGCAAATTATGCTAATGAAAACCATCATTTTTCATAGAAGTGAAGAGTATTGACATTTCTTGCTTTAAAATATCACATTTTAGACTATTTTAGACAGTGTTATCTTACTTCATTAAAATTTAAAAACATATATGGGGTCTAATGAGTCTAGTTTTCTAATGTCACTACCTTTAAATGTAAAATAGCTAAAGTTACAATTAACTTATGATAATATATTTATATCTACCATTGATATTCTTCGCAACTCCTCCACAGATTCTTCTAGAGTAGAAATGTTACGCTTGCTTCTCCTACGGTCTGAAAAATGAGTTATGTTGAAATTCATTAACATTTTCTGAATACTTAATAAACTTAATAAAAAATTCCAGTTTTAATAAATAAGAAAACATGGCAAGCTGAAGGACGGCTTGTATTTCCTTGCCGCAGTATATTTTATTGCTTTTGAACAACCTTTAAGTATGACCTTGACATTGGAAGTAGCAACCCGGTTTTAGAGCTCTGGGCATCATCTCATAATGGTGATCATTTGTGCAAAGTTATTTTGAAATTTTTATAAGTATTTTGAGTTATGATACAAAAAAAAATGTTGTTGTTTTATTTTGTTTAAGTGTGACCTTAACCTTTCAGATAGCGATCTGACTGCTGCGCTCTGTAAATTGGTAAGTAATTTTTAAAGACTTTTCAGTAGTTTAAAAGTTATGGAGCAAACATAAATTTGTAGGGCTTTTTTTAATATTGCACCTTAAAGTGTGACTTTGACCATGGGTTAGAGACCTGATTGTTGCACTTTGTGACCTTGACCTTGGAGGTAGCGACCTGGTTGTTGAGCTTTTCACATCGTCTCATACTGGTGATCATTTGTGCTAAAGTATTTGAAGAAGTTTTCAGCAGTTTGAAAGTTATGAGATAAGAGTGGACAGGAAAATGTTATGGACAGACAGACTAACACACAGATGGAGGCCATTCCTATAATCCCGTCCCCACTATGCAGCAAGGGATTTATAACTTATACATTTCTAAATAGTAAATATATCAGGATGATGATCTACTTTTCAGTCCTTTTTAAACTATTTCCTTCACTAAATCATACCACCCAGAATTCTTGGGGATGACAAAAAATATATGTAAACATAATTTCCATGTTACCAGTTATTCACATAATACACAACTATACTGGTGAGTTTTATCAACCTTGTCTATTTGTCTCAGATATATCAGGAATGGAGACCTAGTCTCCTCCAGTTTAAACACCTATAGTGGGTCTCTAACTAAATAAAACAGTAACTCAGTTAATTCATACATATTAAAAAATCCTCAATATTAGGTATTAATATTTATGCATGTCACATATTTGTCCTAAATTGTTCAATTAACGGAAATCTAAATCAAAACCTTCAGATGGTGGAGGTACAACAGGTGATAAAGCAGCTGGTTGCCCTAGCGTCAGGGTTTCTCCTAGGTTTTGAAGTGTTGACATATCAACAGCTGGCAGTTCTGTTGGTAAATCTATCTGGTCAGGTGCCTGTAATGGAGGTGGTGATATTGCCTCTGCTAAATCTTGCTCTGGGATGTTTCTACGGAAACGAGCATTTCTTGCCCACAGATGATGCCATGGTTCCTTTCTTAATTCTAAAATTTCAAAACTTTATAAATCAGACTTTTATTCCTAAAAATGTAACTACCAGTTATCAGAGGTTTTCTCAATGTCAATTCCCCCAAATGATGAAGACTGCATTGATACTTATAGAGTAGTTGCTTTTTTTTCAAGTATTTTTGTTCAGAAGGGAATTCTTTGAAATTACTTATACAAGAAAATTTGAGTACAATAAGAGCTGTCACACAAAAGTGATGAATGCCCCTAAAAAGGTTTCATACATGAATTGTATTGCTGAAAGGTATTATCAGTCATTGAATTTAAGATTTTGAATTCACTGGCCCGAATTCCAGTTCTGAATTTATTCTACTATATATTTAACTACATTTTCTTAAAATTTACACTGACCCGAACTAATTTTCACTGGCCATGGGCCACCGGGCCAGTGCTAAATCCAATGACTGTATTATGAAAAAAAAAAAAGAAATAAAGTTACTAATTGCTTAATACTGTTCTTGTGAAATGAAGTGCTATTCATAGCAAACTTACCACCTTGACCTTTGAGGTAGGGACCTGGATCTTGGACACAACATGATGTCTTGATGTGGTAAACATTTATGCAAAGTTATTTTAAAATCCTTCCAGGCATGACAAAGTTACAGTCCAGACATGAATGTGTACCTTCATACTCTAAGTGTGACCTTGACCTTTAAGGAAGTGACATGGTCCTTAAAACTGACATATTGTCTTGATGTGGAAGACATAATCATATATGCAAGGTAAATATTAAAAAATAATTCCATGAATGACAAAGTCCAGACATGATTGTGTTTTACTTTAAACTGCAGTTGTGAGAATGTGAACCTTCGAACAGTATTAAGTGTGACCTTGATCTTTAAGGAAGGGACATGGTTCTTAGACGCAACACATCATCATGATGTGGTAAACATTTGTGCCAAAAAAAATCCTTAAATGCATGAAAAAGTTAAATTCCGGACACTAGTTCACACAGATGGACAAACAGTGGAATTTAAATATGCAACCCTTTGGAGGCATTAAAAGCTATATCTTGAAGCTATTGCTTTAACAAGATATGTTTGTAAAACATGTATGCCCCCTATCAGCAGCCAATTATTCATGTGATAAGGTAATTATGCATGACTTCTGACCCAGTGATCAAACAATTAATAAGGGTTATCAAGTATCTACTGGTCATGACCTTGACCTTTGACCCCTTGACCCAAAACTCAATAGGGGTCATCTGCTGGTCAAGACCAATCATCATACAAAGTTTGAAGTTCCTAGGCCTAAGCATTTATAGTTAATTGATCAGAAACCGTTTTTACTTACACCTTGACCTTTGACCCCTTGACCCCAAAATCAATAGGGGTCATTTGCTGGTCATGACTAATCACCATGCCAAGTTTGAAGTTCCAAGGCCTAAGGGTTCTTTTATTATTGATCCGAAACCGTTTTAACATACAAGGTCAATGTGACCTTGACCTTTGACCCCAAAATCAATAGGGGTCATCTGCTGATCATGACCAATCACTATGCCAAGTTTGAAGTTCCTAGGCCGAAGTGTTCTTTAGTTATTGATCAGAAACCGTTTTTACTTACAAGGTCAATGTGACCTTGACCTTTGACCCCTTGATCCCAAAATCGAAAGGGGTAATCTGCTGGTCATGAAAAATCACCATACCAAGTTTGAAGTTCCTAGGCCTAAGCGTTCTTAAGTTATTGATCAGAAACCGTTTTTACTTACAAGGTCGATGTGACCTTTACCTTTGACCCCTTCACCCAAAACTCAATAGGGGTCATCTGCTGGTCACCATCAATCATCATACAAAGTTTGAAGTTCCTAGGCCTAAGCGTTTTTAGTTAATTGATCAGAAACCGTTTTTACCTACAAGGTCAATGTTACATGACCTTTGACCCCTTGACCCTAAAAAACAATAGGTCATCTGCTGGTCATGACCAATCACCATACCAAGTTTGAAGTTCCTAGGCCTAAGGGTTCTTAAGTTATTGATCGGAAAGCATTTTTACCTACAAGGTCGATGTGACCTTGCCCTTTGACCCCTTAACCCCAAAATCAGTAGGGGTCATCTGCTGGTCATGACCAATCACCATACCAAGTTTGAAGTTCCTAGGCCTAAGGGTTCTTTAGTTATTGATCGGAAACTGCTTTTACCTAAGAGGTCAATGTGACCTTGACCTTTGACCCCTTGACCCCAAAATCAATAGGGGTCATCTACTGATCATGACCAATCACCATACCAAGTTTGAAGTTCCTAGGCCTAAGGGTTCTTTCGTTATTGATCGGAAACTGTTTTTACCTAAGAGGTCAATGTGACCTTGACCTTTGACCCCAAAATCAATAGGGGTCATCTACTGATCATGACCAATCACCATATCAAGTTTGAAGTCCCTAGGTCTTAGGGTTCTTTCGTTATTGATCGGAAACCATTTTTACCTACAAGGTCAATGTGACCTTGACCTTTGACCCCTTAACCCCAAAATCAATAGGGGTCATCTACTGATCATGACCAATCACCATATCAAGTTTGAAGTCCCTAGGCCTAAGGGTTCTTTCGTTATTGATCGGAAACCGTTTTTACCTACAAGGTCAATGTGACCTTGACCTTTGACCCCTTGACCCCAAAATCATCTGCTGGTCATAACCAATCACCATACCAAGTTTGAAGTTCCTAGGCCTAAGGGTTCTTTTGTTATTGATCGGAAACCGTTTTTACCCAAGAGGTCAATGTGACCTTGACCTTTGACCCCTTGACCCCAAAATCAATAGGGGTCATCTACTGATCATGACCAATCACCATACCAAGTTTGAAGTTCCTAGGCCTTAAGGTTCTTTACTTATTGATCGGAAACCGTTTTTGCTTACAAGGTCAATGTGACCTTGACCTTTGACCCCAAAATCAATAGGGGTCCTCTACTGATCATGACAAATCACCATACCAAGTTTGAAGTTCCTAGGCCTTAAGGTTCTTTAGTTATTGATCGGAAACCGTTTTTGCTTACAAGGTCAATGTGACCTTGACCTTTGACCCCAAAATCAATAGGGGTCATCTACTTGTCATGACCAATCACCATACCAAGTTTGAAGTTCCTAGGCCTAAGGGTTCTTTAGTTATCACTCGGAAACCATTTGGTCTACGGACCGACGGACCGACAAGTGCAAAGCAATATACCCCCTTTTCTTCGAAATGGGGGCATAATTATTAGGTGTTAGTTTAGTTTTTTATTTACTCTGAAATTCCCATATTGGACTTTTTACTTTTTATTCTCAATTCCAATGTTGTTGGTGGCATTCAAAATGATTTGTGTAATTGTAAACGTTAACAGTAATGACTCTGGTTAATTAATATCACAAAACATACCCCATGATCTATTATAGTTCTATTATAACCCTTCAATACAAGCTTATTTGACAAATGGGATATTAAAAGTCTTTTAAAGCCATTTCAAAATCATTCTCTGACAAACATCTATAATGAAATTTGTTTGCAGAAGTGAGAACTCTTAAATAAGGGGGACTTATATATACCATTTGTCACTGGAAATTTTTTAATTTATATAACTTAAAAAAATACATTGCTGTCATTATTATCTGGTTTTGAAATAAATTATAGATACCCGAGTATTAACCTAACCTTTTTTGCCTGCAACAGCTAACAGATCAGTGGCTCCAACACCATGAACATCTGGTAGTACCTGTATATATTTACCAAATTATAAAATGTCTTAAAGGTGAAAGTTTCACAGATCATTTTCAATATATATGAAATTTGTCAAAGCAATTTTTCTGCAATAATGAGTTTGAATATGGGTAACATTGCCTAGATTTCGTTATTTATCACAGGATACATTTAAAAAATATTTAGATCTGAATATTTTTTCCCTTAAAGTCTGTCATTATATAAAGCACAATTTAACACAAAACAGATATGATGAAGTATAATATAAACAATTCTGATCTTATTTTTTTTTTTTACTTAATTTTCTTGTTTAACTGCATCATGTTTTATAATAAGTTTTTGCATTAAAACTGAGGCCGCCAACAATTCCACAAAATGACACTTATCTATAAGTCTTAACTCTGGCATCATAAAATCCTAAAGTTTATCCAATTGCAAGGGTCTATTTTTCTGTAACTAAACTTTTAAAGACAACATCTTTCCAATATATTTTAATAATTATCGCAAACAATTTTAATTGTAAAAATTTGGCCTGCTGGATATTAAATGTATATATGTAATACAGTGGCTGCCATACCTAGAAACTTTTCATCAAGAAGTTATAATTGTTAAAGAGACAAATAAATTTAATGAAAAGTATGTAAAGAGAGGGGAAATGATAAAAGAACATACAAAGTTTTCACATGTATCTTTCCCTGTTGTCATATGCTGCTTCATTTTGTTCTTCGGTATCTGTGTTTCAGCATCGGCAAATGCCAGCTGTCTTTTACGTTTACGCTGTGTAGGACTGGGAACATCAGCTGTTAATTCTAACTCTAGTGACCGTCCCTGAAACAATTTCAGTCACAATTATTCAACATTAAAACATTGCCTGGTTGTCCTAAAAAAAATCACCCAAAAATTATTTCAGGCATGCTGGAGGGCCTAAGGAAGAACAGCCAAACTAAAGTACCATACTTTAAAAATAAGCAACATCGAAGTAAGATTCTGTATAATATATGCCAAGGAGTAAGGATTGTTTAAATATAACAACAAAATTTGGTTATTTATACATGTATAATAATATTTTACATATATCACAGATTTATAATATAGCTAGTGTTTGCTATAAATACCATATAAGTCAAGTCAAGTATATCTTGTAAACCATTGCAAATTACCATAGAATATTCAATAAAAGTAATCAACCAATACATGTATAAACTAAAAATTAAACCCAACTGATAAGATAATATTAAAATTTCTTACATACAAACATCATATTATATGAAAGAATAAACTATTTCTAACATACAGGTATGTTTCTTCTTGGCAATGGACTAGTAATGATTTGCTGAGTGACACCTGGGGAAGGAGGCACTGCACGAGTCTCTGGTACTGTTGACAAAGGAGGTCGTTCTGGAGTTTTCTCCTTGTCTTCCTGTATTATACGACTGGGGCTGTGCGGGATATATTGAATTATAATGTTCTATAAGGAATATCGGATCTCAGATAAATTTTCACAGAATAAAGAGGTTGCAGCAGGCTTAAAACTTCAAGTTTGTTTTGGTGTAATGGCATATTGCACTACTGGTCACATTCAAATTGTGAATACTTTTAACAATGCTAGTAGTCAGTAAATTTAATATGAAACAGATCTGGCTAATACTGACAGGATAAATTAATATATAGTCAACGGAAAGAAAGATAAAAATGACTTGCAAAATCTATATTTGTTGTAGATAAATCTATCATTTTATAACAGGAAGAGAAGCTGTCTGGTAAAGGTAACTACTCAAAGAGCAATTCAATGCATGGTATAAATATGATAAGTTATTTACTAGATTTTCACCTTTCTAGTGCAGTTTGCTGGAATCGTAATGCTTGTCTGGTATCACTGTCTACATCTAGATTGAAGGGTGTGCTGGTAGGTAACAGATCTGATACCTGTAGTGCAGGCTCCTCTACTTGGCCCAGTAACAGTTCCATCTCCCTATTATCCAACATGGGAAGATCTACATCTTTAGGAACCTATTGTGATAGGAATTGTTTTTATTTTTTTTAATTAATTGGAGGTCAATTGACATAGATCTGTCATTGATAGAGACAATATTGATGTATTGTTGATATTTTTCTGTTGATCAATAATTGGTACACATTTGAAAAAATCAATTATTTTGATGAATTATCTAAATGTCTATAAATTATGAAAATTCAATAAAAACATATACAAAAGCAGGTTGCCATGTCTAACACTTATCTGTTGTTACATAATGGTCACATTTTATAGTGCTCAGTGATGACAAAATATGGTCAGAAAAAAAATCATGCAAAGGTCATTTAGAAATAGGACACATCATATTTGAATGAACAGAACATTTATTTTATAAACAGGTATGAACAAGTTTTATATACAAAAAATCATGAGTATTTATCTATATATCAATGTATATTATCACAGATATTTGTCATTCGATATCGGTATATGGTCAATATGCTTTGCACTCAATTAATGACAGCCCTATCGATACAAGACTTGGACAAAACAAAGTGAAAATTTCATGTTTGGCACAGTGATACAGAAAGATAAGGTATAACTTAATTAAAAAAGCTTTAGATTAAGTTTGAAACTGTTAATTCCTGTAGTATTTTACCTGTATAGGTGAAAGGGGAGTGTCTACAATCAGTGGTGGGGGATCCCTCATTGTAATCTGCTCTATATCAGCTACCAAAGGCACTGATTCATCTGTGAAATATAGACTTCATTATTGACAGTAATGAAATTAAAATACTTCTACAAAAATTAATTGATCTTTTATTACATTTTCATGAAACAAATCATAATAAAAATAATGTTTCAATAATAACTTTGTCTCTTGAGTTACGGGTTCTTAAAGAAAACGGCAAAGCCAAAATCCTGGGCATTACAGGTACTTATTCTTAATATTAAACAGATGTAAAGTGCTGTGTGGCAACTGGCAAGTCATCTAAGTCAAGTGTTGTTATAAAAAAATGTTCTGGTCATTTTGAATTATTGATGTTGACAATTAAATACTGCTTAAGTGAAGCTATTGGGGGCATGGTAGATGTTACATTATATCTAATGAACACATTCAATAAAACTGAGTCTGCATTTGTCAACCTTTAGTATTGTTTCTCATTGTTTTTAAGGAATTTCCTTTTTTCCAGATTTTTTTTTATCTGCTCTACATACATAAAGCCATCTGCTTGAGTCAATTCCTATAGTTCTTAGACATGTCCGAGACAGGAACTAAGTTAATACTTTGTAATTATACCACTAAATAATGGCAGTGAAATGGTTTACAAAGTGCGCTAATATAATGATAATAAATTCATAACAAGAGCTGTCACAGGAGACAGCATAGCTTGACTGATAAAATACTGGACGCAGTAAGGAAGACAAAACTATGAAAGAAAAATCAATGATATATAAATATGTATTAAGTTATAGTAAAAAAATAATATTGTTAACAAAAATTCCAAGATCAAGGGGAATAATTTTAGAAATAGTCACGATAGAGTTATGAACCTTGTCACACAACATGTGTGTAATGATAAGAATTCTAACTTTTCCCTATTGATCATAGAAGAACCGAAAGTGTGTGTTATTATGCAACAAATTCACTGTTGACGTTCTATATTTAGACATGTGACGTAATCATCATACATGTGACGTAACCACTTAAAAAATGCAACGCGCTGAAAATAAGTACGGAAACAAATCAGGAACAATTTTACCCTTATATCAGTTACAACAGCATTTATTTGTTGATGTCGTGCTACAATCGAAATAATATATCCAAATCGGTGATTTTATCGCTTGATAACATCACTGTTTGTCGTTCGGATGCGCATCATTATATCACTCGGGCTACGCCCTCGTGATATAATTCCTCGCATCCGAACTCCAAACAGTGATGTTATTGAGCAATAAAATCACTGTTTGGGATATATTATTTCTTAAATATATATTTGAAGTTTGAAGTAGATACCTAAAGAAAAAAAGAAGTTCTATTTCTTAAAGAAAATCCTAAGTTCAAAGAAAGATAAATCTGTAAATATTGCTGCAAGAGTTATGAACATTGTCACATAAAATGTAATTGATGATAAGGAATAAGTATTTGAAGTTTGAGGTATATACCTTTAAAACTAAAGAAGTTATAGTAAAAAATAACATTTTTCTAGTAAAAAAATCTAAGTTGATGGGGGGATAATTCTTGCAATATTGGTGCTAGAGTTATGAACCTTGTCAGATAACATGTGGTTAATGATAAGGTGCATATATTTGAAGTATTAAGTTGATCTCTTAAGAAATAAATAAGTAACAGTAAAAAATAATATTTTTTAAGGAAAATTCTAAGTTCAAGGGGAGAAAAATCTGAAAATATTGGTGCTAGAGTTATGAACCTTATCACATAAGATGTGGATGATGATAAGGTACATATATTTGAAGTATGAAATTGATCCCTTAAGAAATAAAGAAGTAACAGTAAAAAAATAATATTTTTTAAGAAAAATTCTAAGTTCAAGGGGAGATAAATCTGAAAATATTGGTGCTAGAGTTATGAACCTTGTCACATAAGATGTGGATGATGATAAGGTACATATATTTGAAGTATGAAGTTGATCCCTCAAGAAATAAAGAAGTAACAGTAAAAATTAGTACTTTTTAAGGAAAATTCTAAGTTCAAGGGGAGATAAATCTGAAAATATTGGTGCTAGAGTTATGAACCTTGTCACATAAAATGTGGTTGATGATAAAGAACATATATTTGAAGTTTGAAGTTAATACCTTAAGAAATGACAACATTATAGTGAAAAATATTTTACTGCACCAAAACTTTAATCTGAAATCTGGACGCAGACGCCGGGGCGAGTGGGACAGCTCTCCATATACTTCGTATAGTCAAACTAAAAATTACAAGCTTATGATCATCAAGAATTTATATCCTAAAAGGGGCATCTTAATATTCCATAGGAACTGTATATCATATCAGAACAATGTGACAATAGTTGAGGTTTTAAGCTCTGCCAGCAATTTTTACTGAGCTATAAACATATAAAAACTAAAATCCTTTGACCTTCAAGAAGGTAAATTTTTAATGGGGACATTAATAAAACCTAATAGGAACTGCATAGCATTTCAGAACAAAATGAATGAGACTTTAAGGCACACCTTGGGTTTGGCGTCTTTTTCTCTTTTTTGGTATTGGACTGCCATTACTTAGGATTGGTGTTGGACCGCTCAGATTCCAGAATTCACCCTGTAATATAATAATATAGATGATTTTTCTTGATAACATTACAAAACATATTTAAGGTGAAACCGCAAATTAATTCATTTTCAGAATAATGATATCATTTTAGTAAAATTATTATAATTGTGCTATGTATTATTAATTATGTGTCAAAAGTCCCTTTTGCTAAAATACAAGTGAATAAGGCCATTTTATATCTAAAATAGTTTGTGTCTCACAGTCTGTGCTGTAATATTACAAATGTATGACATACATTGAAAATGAAATCAAATGCAGAAATAGTTTTTAAACATGCAAATAAATTATTTAGTTTAAAATATAAATGTATTTTGTCAATAAAATATTTTTATTTCTTCATTTAAGTGCAGATCATTATTGTTCATATTAGTGCACTTTGAATTATTGTTGATAAAAACTAGAAATGTGTCCATAGGACACGGATGCCCCCACACGCCACTGTTCTGTCAATCTTATGACTCTAGGTCAAATATTTTTTGGACTACATGTGACACAAATTGAAAACTAAAAATCAACAAAGGGCCATAATTCTGTTAAATTTGGTCACAGCAAAAATTTCTTCCTTTACTACCATCTACACATTAAGGTTGTTAATCCCTGGAAGTTTAAGCAAAATATGCCATCCGGTTTAAGAGGAGTTGCGTTCACAAAATTTCTACATAGTATATAATGAAAAAATAAAAACGGGCCATAATTCTGTTAAATTTGGTTGCAGCAAAAATTCCTTTCTTTACTAGCATCTACACATTAAGGTTGTTCATCCCTGGAAGTTTAAGCAAAATCTGCCATCCAGTTTAAGAGGAGTTGCATTCACAAAATTTCTACATAGTATATAGTGAAAAAATCAACAAAGGGCCATAATTCTGTAAAATTTGGTCGCAGCAAAAATTCCTTCCTTTACTACCATCTACACATTAAGGTTGTTCATCCCTGGAAGTTTAAGCAAAATCTGCCATCCGGTTTAAGAGGAGTTGCGTTCACAAAATTTCTACATAGTATCTAGTGAAAAAATCAACAAAGGGCCATAATTCTGTTAAATTTGGTCGCAGCGAAAATTCCTTCCTTTACTACCATCTACACATTAAGGTTGTTCATCCCTGTAAGTTTAAGCAAAATCTGCCGACCGGTTTAAGAGCAGTTGCGTTCACAAGATTTCGGGACGTACGGACGGACTGATGGACGGCCGTACCAACTTTTGATATTTAAGAGGTAAGTCAGCTCATAAACTACACCTGGACCAAAGTCCATAAGCAAAATCAGCTCATAAAATAAAAAAAATAGCTCTTAATTTAAATTTTATGAGCTTTTGTTCTTTATTTAACTACGGAATGAAGCTCATAAATATCAAATGTTTGCTCGGACTGACGGACGGACGGACGGACGGACAAGTGCAACGCTATATGCTCCCACATTGTGGGGGCATAAAAAACTTCATTCAATGCTCCCTAAAAATGATTTAGTCGTTCTCTATCAAAGTCTACTTATTTAATTTACTTGAAATTTTACTTATTTTGATCGTTTACTAAATTATTGTTCATGAAAGCAGACTTATTTATTATTAATTCAAGTGTACTACATAAATTGCTCAGAGTTTTTCATGCAGACCAAGATCTCAGCTGTTTGATAATGTTCTGCACTGTTAGCTAATATACATACTTTGAAAATTTTCCCTGCTCATTAATGTGTACTAAAAACTACTAAGTCATAGAGTTAGAAACTATCGTACATTTAAACATTGTATTACACTAGTATTATTATGGCATTTCAACAAAAAGCAAGGAGAGTTGAACACAAACTATATGAAACAAAAAATGCAAAATTAGTTGAACAAAAATTGAGTCACTGTGAAACAAAATACAAGAAAAATTGAACATTCAATATGGAACCAAAGTACAAAAAAAGTTCAACATAAACTATGGACAATGAGTATGGTAAACAAATAACAAGAATTATAAGTTGAACAAAAACTTCATGTATGGGAGAAAAAAATGCAAGCAACTTCCAACATTAACTATAAGAAACAAAGACTGCAGGAATAGTCGAACATAAACTATGAAAAACTTAAAAAATGTAAGGAAAAAGATAAATGAACATCATAACAATGGCAATGAAAATTTGATAAAAAAAGTTAGCATAAACTATTGCAAACAAGATATTTACAAGTTCGGCAGATTCTGCCCTCAACAACTCTGTATCAAGTTGACTAAGATATAAATCCTCAGCTCTACAAAGCTCCTGCTCCAGTATTTCTGGATTTGTCACCTGATCTGCCCTATGCAAGAAATACTTATGCTAAAATATAAGCTGTTATATGACCTCTTTATTCACAGAAGCCAGAGGAGATTCAGCTGAATCTTCATACATCTCTTTGGACACTGTGGAAGACCAATAACTCTAGCATGGATTTCAATTGAATAACAGTTCTCTGTGTATTGAGAACAAATATGGTTAAAGTTCTGTGGGCAAGGTATAATTTAGAAACCTCTTTAAGTCCTTCATGACCCTTGTTTAATTATCAAACACTTAAAATAGTTGACATGCTGTTGCCTTTTGGTCTTGCAGCTCCTGTTTTATGTTTAACACAAGATGAAAGGCAGCTTTAAATTGTTGCTTATTATAATTCCAAACTTCTACAAATTCATGTAGCAGGACTTAAAAATTTTTTTTATATTGAAGATGATCTTGATTTTACAAAAGACAATACATGCAAACATTTTTTTTGAAAAGCACAAAAAATAAAAAAAATACAGAAGCCAAGTTTTAGGTATTTCACTCTATATGAGTCTGATAAACATGTTCTTTTAAAAAAGCAAATAATTGTAAGGACATCCAAGTTAATTCAATGATTATAAATGGCAGAGATTCAATATCACTTAAAGTTATTTCACATAAGCATTTTAACAAAAAAGTTGAAGAACTTACTTTGGGGTTTCTGGCAGATCAATGTCGTGTACTTTAAGTGTTGCCAGGGATGTTGCACGGAGAAAAGCATTTGATACATCACCTGAAATCAATTTTACTGTGTTAATTATTCTAATTGTTATATGTCTTGACAGAAATGAGAATTGGCTGGAAAAAAAAAAGAAAATTCCAAGAAAAAACACTTGAATAAGGGCCCTAAAAAAAGTATTTGGAATTTATTGTTATGGGTGATCACTTAGACTGAAAATGTCATTACCTGTAGATGATCATGAAGACGGCTAACAAAGTTCAATAGAACACTAACCACCTAATTTAATAGGTATCATTGCTTTGTTTGGGAATTTTGTCATTGGAAATATAACCAAAATCTGACTATAAAACATGCCAAACAAACAATTTAAAGTCAGCAAACTTACCTGTTATGTGTTATGTAACTTACCAAGAAGATAGTCTATATGTTTTTGATGTATTCTGACTACTCCGTACATGAGAAGAGCTGACAAATACAGTGAGAATCTTGGTCGCCGAGCTCCTTTACTAGGTACTATACGTAATTCTATGTATGCTAATATGTCATCACTGGAAAAACAGGCATGTATATACTATTAGACAATAGTCTATTAACCGTCTTTCTGATATTCTCCACATTCTTTAAACTGTACTTTGTCATCATAAATAAGGAAAAGGTCATCTATTTAAAAGCTAGACATTAAATTTGTCAGATTGCCCTCGACACCAAAATTAATTTGATTGCTGAAAATATATCAAAACAGTACATATAGCTTAATCTGTCTAGACAAAATTAATATCATTTTCACTACCCAAGTTACAAAATATTAGACAGTATCAGTCTTACAAATATTAAGAAGAGATAAATACACTGCAGAGTAAAGCCGGGAGGTGATAATCGGCCCACTAAGTGAATAATGGCCAGAGGGCTTCAGCGAGAGCCCAGAGGGCATTATTCATTTCAGGGCCGATAATCTATTAATAAATGAGGAATACAGTGAAGTGATCATAAAGTTTATACCATGATTTCTCCACATCAACCATGGCTATCTCCCTCCTAGTCAGCTTTGACATCTTAGTGGCTGCAAGCCTGTCAATAAATGTTTGAAAATCATACAATAATATCCTATGCAACTTTTACCAAATGTTATCTTGACTCATTATACACTATCAGTGTAGAATACACTCAGAGGCACTTATAACCCGACACTTACATTTTTCTGTACTGGTTTGGGAGATAAACTCAGCCGAAAATCAGTGTTTTATGGGCATATTTCATTTATTTGTTTACGTATTCTGATGAATCTTGCACCATAATAAACTTCAGCTCTTCGATTTTCCGGTATCACCATAAAAGTTATATTTAGAAACATAACGGGTAATTTTGAGAGGCCCTGGAAATGGTACGTAAAAAGGATAGTTTTAACGCGCGCGAGTAGATAATTCCGGCTTTTTGTTTTTCTTCTTAAATGAGTAAGTTAAAACGTAAAATAACATGTTTAGACATTTTATTATTTCTTTGCTGTTCATTTATGTCAAATAGAAAATATTTGTTACCAAAATTGTTGAGCATTACGTAAGTATAGTGAATATCTATGATAACACGATATTTATATGCAACATACTATGTAACATATAAATCATTTTAAGTAAAAACATACATGCATTATCATTTATTAAAGTATAACGAAATATGACTAGTTAAAGAATTAGTGATTCAAATTTATTTTTGCTTAGCTTAACAGAATGAAGAAGAAATTAATTTAGTGGTATTCAACTTACACACGAACATATAAAAGGAGCATTTAACATCAGTCTTTCAATCCATTCCACTTAAAGATTACAATTGTGAAATCAGCTTTTTTTCTGAGTTAGCAAGACAAAAGTGAGTCTGAATTTCATCTTCAAAATGTATACGTAAACGTTGTCACCTTTACCGGTAGTCAGTCAATATATAAAAGTACCCCTGTGCGGGCCTCAAAATGAGCATCTGCTGCACATGCGCACAACAATGGAATTCCCGTACTTTTTATAGGCATGTTTTGTAAACAAACAGGTAAAAGTCTGTGTTATTTTTTAAATATCTTGTACCAAGCTTCACAAAATTTCCAGATATTGTCGAATTCCAGTGATAGTATGAGATGGTAAGCTTGAATAGATTAAAAACTCCGACAAATCGATTTAATAATAAAAAGCCGAGTTTATCAACCAGCCGAAGTTATCTCCCCAACCAGTATAACTTGGTTATTTGTGAACAGATTTTGTTCAGTTTTTGAACATACAAAATTTAACATATCATGCTTATTTATCTAGAATTTTACTTCCAATTCATTAACAAGAAAATAGAGAAAATAACAAAACAAATAATATTATTTTATTATGTTACTGCAAAATGAAAAATCACAAAATGACTGTAAATTATAATCATAACAATGAAAAGTCTCTAAATTCAACTGATTCTGTATAATAACCAGTTCTAATACTTTCAATGTCATCCCATGACTATAACAAAGTGTAAACTGTGACCTGTCTCATGGTTATGACATAGTGAAGGCTTGGGTAATATTTCTCCATTTTGGAATAGAGGCTTCCTCGAGTTCTAGCAAGTCCTGCATTCCAAGTCACCCGATCTAAACATCACAATTGTTAGCTGAATTGAATAGGTGTGAGAAAGCGGCCAAAAACTCCTCGCAATTTGCTGGAACACAAGCAAACCCTTATTTAGGAATAGAGATCTGTGAGGCAGAGGTGTATACTTTGTTACAGCCAATTGGGAGGACATACAAAGTGTTAAAACTGGTAAAAATTACAGATTTAATGGGATTCAGAGACTGTTCATTGTGTTACGATTTTTACAGTCATTTTGTGACTTTTCATTTTACAGTAGCATATTTGTTTTGCTATTTTTTCTATTTTCTTATCAATGAATTGTAAGTATAATTCCAAGTAGTAAGTATGATATGTTGAATTTTGTAAAGTCCAAATTTGAACAAAATCCGTTCACAAATAACCTATTTCAGTGTTTTTTTCCTTTATATAACTACTACCCTAAAACGGTACTGTTCCCAATAGAAAATAGACATTTAAATTCCCAATTTCCAATGTTTAAATTCCCAAAATGGCTGTTCAAAATTCCACAAGGCCAAGTGATTTCTCTGAAATCATTTAAATCCAACACATTCGTATAAATCACCACTCAATAGTTTTACCTAGACAGTGGAAGCTGTTGGCTATCTTTATTCATGATGACTTTATCATTTGTAGCTGAAAAATGCATTAAAAAAAATCCCAATTTAAGTCAAATAACGCATTTTTTTCCCAATCAGTCTGGTACCGGCACCATTCCCAAAGTAGAGGAAAAAAACGCTGTATTTATACAGAAAAATGTCAGTGTCGGGTTATAAGTGCCTCTGAGTGTATAAATTCATATTTCCATCAAGTGAAAATATTTTTCTCAATAAGCAAACCTGTAACTAAAATTAAATTGGCCCACCAACAACCAAGGCAAACATTGATAAAAAAAAATTTAGTCAATCATATTCTAAACAGGTATGTATAAGTAATTTATCACTTTTTTATTTGAGACTCCGTGAAAATGTTATTGCATAGCCAAACATATATTTTGACGTGACGTTATTTAAGAAATAATATATCCCAAACTGTGATTTTATTGCTCAATAACATCACTGTTTGGAGTTCGGATGCGGGGAATTATATCATGAGGGCGTAGCCCGAGTGATATAATGATGCGCATCCGAACGACAAACAGTGATGTTATCAAGTAATAAAATCACCGATTTGGATATATTATTTCGATTCTAACAGACTAACACGACATCAACAAATAAATGCTGCCGTGCATTATAATAAGCTTAATTGCGGCTGATTTGTTTCCGTACTTATTGTCAGCGCGTCACATTTTAGTTCTTACGTCACGTGTATAATGATTACGTCACATATCTAAATATAGAACGTCAGTGATTTTATAGCATAATAATACACACTTTCGGTTCTTCTATGTTCAATAGGGAAAAATGCGGGTCGTGTTAGAATTGCGTTTTATAAACATAGTGTAAAGACACGCTAAATTATAGTGTTACACTATAGGCGGTCAATGAAAAAATGATTCTTTTTCACTTTAAACAGTCTTTATTTTGGGTATGTGAATTTAAAGATTCATTATATACAGTACAGTAACTAGTGATTTATTTCCATATTTTTAAATTTTAGTGTTGCACTTTTAAAACTTTTTTGCTCAGTAACCTCTGAAACTTAAATTTAGGGCTAAAGCTAGTCAATAAAAAGGGACAGAAGTTACTTCTCTCTACAGACAAGTCAGATATTTGCACATGACAGGAAGAAATGGGTTTTAAATTGTATTAACATTCTCACTGGGCAGATCCAGAGGTGGGTATGGGGGATTTGGCTTTTCTGTTTGGATTGAATTTATTGAAGCAGAAATAATAAAGTGTACATGCATTTTTGTTATTATGCTGTTATTCTGTTCTAGATGTTACTGTTCATCACAATTTTGTTATAATTCTAGAAACAGATATTTTATAAATTAGCATGCTTATAATTTGTTTATCTTCCAGGTTCACTATACTAGATGTGAACCATCTGTTTCAGAATATGCATAAAATAAAATATTTATCATTAATGGATCTTCATCAAATTTGCATTTTATCTTAATATGAACAAGAGGGCCATGATGGCCCTGGATCGCTCACCTGACAACCGCATCCAAGCAATGTCTTAAACAAGCATCATGGCCAAGTTTGATGACAACTGAGTCAAATATCAGTCAATGCGAAAGTCAAAAAATGTTTCCAGCCACAAGGACTGGGATCCTTAGATTTATTTCCGGCCCTGATGATTTTTTTGCGGCCCGGACTCTGAAAGGTAATTTTTGTAGGGGTGGGGGAGGGATATTGCCATAATTGTAAACAAAAATATTCAGCAAATATGAATTATCAGACTCAACTATAAGATACTATGAAAAAAAAATATACAGAAACATAGTAAATAAAACAGTTTTGCATATTTTAGGCAAAAATTTGTTTCAAACTGGCTGAAATTTTATTCGGACACGAGGACTGACTGTATCGAAATTTATCTCGGCCCTCCTGATTTTTAGTTGGAGAGGTCCGAGGACCGACAGACTTTCGCACAGACTGAAATATGTGACCTCTAGTGTGTTATAAAGATTTTTCCATATTTGGGCAATGTGACCTAATTTTTGACAGGACACGACCCTTATTCAAATTTGACCTAGAAATCATCAAAACAACCTTCCTGACCTATTTCCAGGAAATTTGGATCAAAACTGCAGCCACTAGTGTTAAAAAGATTTTTCTATTTTTAGCTCCTGTGACCTAGTTTTTGACCGGAGATGACCCATCTTCGAACTTGACCTAGAAATCATCAAAACAACTTTCCTAACAAATTTCCAGAATATTTGGATGAAAACTGCAGCCACTAGAGTGTTAACAGGCTTTTTCTATTTTTAGCTCCTGTGACCTAGTTTTTGACCAGAGTTGACCCATCTTCGAACTTGACCCAGAAATCATCAAAACAACCTTCCTGACAAATTTCCAGAATATTTGAATCAATACTGCAGCCACTAGAGTGTTTACAAGCTTTTTCTATTTTTAGCTCCTGTGAACTAGTTTTTTAACCAGAGATAACCCATCTTTGAACTTGACCTAGAAATCATCAAAACAACCTTCCTGACAAATTTCCAGAATATTTGGATGAAAACTGCAGCCCCTAATGTGTTAACAAGCTTTTCTATTTTTAGCTCCTGTGACCTAGTTTTTGACCGGAGATGACCCATCTTCAATCTTGATTTAGATATCATCAAAACAACCTTCTTGACAAATTTCCAGAATATTTAGATGAAAACTGCAGCCACTAGAGTGTTAACAAGCATTTTCTATTTTTAGCTCCTGTGACCTAGTTTTTGACCGGAGATGACCCATCTTCAAACTTGACCTAGATCATCAAAACAACCTTCCTGACAAATTTCCAGAATATTTGGATGAAAACTGCAGCCACTAGAGTGTTAACAAGCTTTTTCTATTTTAAGCT